TGCTTGGTTTCATCGTCTCCGAGCGTGGCATCGAGGCCAACCCAGAGAAGATCTCGGCCATCATAAGGATGGGCCTGATTCAGAACATAAAGGGGGTACAGCGAGTTACCGGGTGCCTCGCCGCGCTCAACTGCTTCATCTCGCGCCTCGGCGAACGAGGTCTCCCCCTTTATCGGCTTCTAAAGAGGGTCGACCACTTCGAATGGACGCCCGAGGCCTAGGAGGCACTTGACATGGTTAAGCAGCTTCTGACGAAGGCCCCGATCCTGGTCCCTCCGACCGACGAAGAACTGCTTCTGCTCTATATTACGGCCACCACGCAAGTGGTCAGCGCCGCCCTGGTAGTGGAGCGAGAGGAAGAGGGCCACGCCCTCAAAGTGCAGCGTCCCGTGTACTAAATTAGCGAGGTTCTATCCGATTCTAAGACCCGCTACCCCCAAATTCAGAAGCTCTTGTACGCCGTCCTCATCGCCAAGAGGAAGCTGCATCACTACTTCGAGTCACATCCGGTGACGGTCGTGACATCCTTTCCCTTCGGCGAGGTGGTCCAGAACCAGGATGCCACGGGAAGAATCACGAAGTGGGCACTTGAGCTGATGGGTCAGGGCATTTCGTATGCCTCCCGAACGGCCATCAAGTACCAGGTGCTGGCTGATTTCGTTGCGGAGTGGACCGAGGTCCAAATGCCACCAACAGTCGTCGACCAGGAGTACCGGACGATGTACTTCGACAGATCGCTGATGAAGAAAGGCGCCGACGCAGGGCTGGTCTTCGTTTCGCCTCTCGGAGTACGCAAGCGGTACATAGTTCGCATCCATTTTCCCTCCTCCAACAATGTGGCCGAATACGAGGCGCTCATCAACGGTCTACGCATCGCCATCGAGCTCGGAATCCGACGCCTCGACGTCCGGGGCGACTCCCAACTGGTCATCGACCAAGTCATGAAGCAGTCAAGCTGCCACAATGCCAAGATGGTTGCATACTGCCGAGAAGTCCGCCAACTGGAAGACAAGTTCGACACCTTCGAGCTCAACCACATCCCGAGGCGTCTCAACGAGGCGGCCGACGCGCTGGTGCCGACGAGCATCTTCGCCAGCGATCCGCACCAGCCCTCGATCCGTTACGAGGAGCCAGAACAAGCCGGTGGCGAACCGCCTGCCCTGGGCTCGGGAGCCAACCAGCCGTCGGCTCCATCCGACCCCGAAGTCATGGAGCTCGACGAGGGTCCAGCGATAGAGCCCGACCCTCTAGTCGACTGGAGGGCGTCTTACCTCGATTACCTCCTCCGTGAGGCGCTACTGACGGACAAGACAGGGGCTCGACGGCTCGCACGTCGCGTCAAGTCCTTTGTCCTTGTTGAGAGCGAACTCTACAAGCCGGGTGATCCGTGAGGACGAGGTCTCTCGGCTGGTCCCGTCCCTCTCAATGTTAGTATTAAGAGGTCAGAAAATCAATTGAAGAGGAGACGTGAGGAGGGGAAACTTGCGAAGACGACATGGCCTGGTTCCGGCCGCATCGGAGGATGTCCCGGCACCGGGTAGACGAAATCGAGGGGGCGCCCGTGTCGTCCCGCGAAAGCTCCATCGCCTCATTAATGCGTTGTGTGACCTCGGACTGGGAGAGCACTCCCTCGGCAAGTGTCGTCCCATCAAATGACGCCTCGGACGTCATCACATACAGCGAGAGCGCGCGCCTCATCAACGGCGCCACCCTCCTTGCGTGGTAGGCCCCGATGATGCCCGACCCCTTCAGGCCGCTCTCCTTCAGGATGCGGATGGCGGCAAGGTGGTCCTAGATCTTCTTGTCATTCTCCGGGACACCCCACTTCCTCCATGACTCCAGGGCCTCTTATCAGGCGCCCGATGAACTCCGGCAGGCGGACGGCGGCGGTGTTCTTGAGATAGAACCACTGCGAATGCCACCCCTTGTTGGAGATCGACAGCCACATTGACGGGTATTAGCCGACCCGGTTGTTCCGGAGGTGGATGCCAGCGCATCCCATCGGCGTATGCAGCTCCTGCCTGCTGCTCTTCTCCCTCTTCTTCTAGAGGGTGACGGCGAAGAAGTGCCGCCACAGATCGAAGTGGGGACTGATCCCTAGGAATCCCTTGCACATGGCGACAAACGCCGCCATATGCTGAATCCCGTTGGGATTAAGGTGCTGCAGCTCGATCTTGTAGTAATGAAGCAGTCCCCGAAGAAATCTATGGGCGGGGGTGGCGAACCCGCAGTCATGGAAGTGCGCGAATGACACCACGTAGCCATCGAGCGGCGACGGCACATCCTCCTCGTCGAGCAGCAGCCTGTCCTCGGCAGAGGTCCGCGCGCGGAGAAGCCCGTGACGGACGAGGCCCTCCATGCGCTGGAAGGTGATGTCAGAGCGGCACCACATATCCATTGGAAGATGGGGCCGGGTGGATGCGAGCTCGACGGCGGCCGGGACGCGGATGCAGGAAGCCTAGGCGATGAGCGGCGGCGGTTGCAGATGCGAAGGCAAGAAGGCAAGGTATGATACCCAGTGGGCGACCCCCTTGGTTTTATAGGGGCGACGGGCGTGAGGAAACCAACCGCCCGCTTGGATCTCCACGCCTGCCACGATCTGCCACAACATCATGACGCGGGATATGCGCACGCAATCTCTATCTGTTCCCTCAAAAAACTCGCCGGACGTTTCGTCTCTCCGGACAGGTCATGACTCGTTACAAGTGCAAGGAATACGGATCTAAAAACACCTCTACGGCCCGTCTGGGCCCAGGAGCTCAAAGGTTGGCCCATCGACGGGTTCGACAACCGCTCTGGGTACCTTCAAGATAAGGAAGTAGAAAGGGGTGGGTCCGCAAGCGGCCAGTACCCAGGCGCAGGAGCATCACGGGCATCCTGGCACACGATTGAGTCTCGACCGGTTACGATCCTTGGTTTTTTCCTCGAAGAAAGGCACGTAGCCCTCGGGACCGGTCGAACGGACCCGAGAACTATACGGGTCGACCGCCAAAAATCTAGGGTCGGTCACCAAGCTGACCCTAGCCGGATCCCCGCAAACATTATGCCGGGATCCCAATCGAGCTAGCCAGCTAACAAACCACCAAATCTCATGGCCGTACCTGTGAAGGGTCCGGTCTCGACGAAAGGGAACCACCGTTCTCAGGTTACATCATGGGCTACAGAAGAAGGCCAAAGCCCTCAGAGTACTCCCGTTCGGAAAAACCTCCGAAGTATTCTACTTCTCCGAAGGCTCGGAGGCTACTATCGAGGACCAATACTATGGTATCATAAGAGAAGGGGCTAACTGTCGTCATACGTTAATCCATCCAGTCAGTCAAGAGTGCGACTACAACTCCAACCGATATCGAGGCCGCTGGCTCCGCCTCCCCCGACGCCCGCCCGACCCCCGAGGGTGGGCTCCGCCTCGCCCGACGTCTGAGGGCGGGCTCCGCCTCGCCCCACGTCTGAGGCCGGGCTCCGCCTCGCCCGACGTCTGAGGGATGGCTCCGCCTCGCCTGACGTCTGCAGGCTGGCTCCGCCTCGTCCGATGCCTTGGGCACGGCTCCTGACAAAAGCTCACGTCGCCAACAACCACTACGGGCCAGAAAGTACAACCCAAGGTCAAACTTCTGGCATCGTGCACGGAGCGGTCACGTCTCAACACGACCCGTCCCCGCGACATGTCATTTCAGGGGACTCACATCGCCCACAGTGACGGACGCGTGGTCACTGTACTGCCTACTCCCTGCTTGGTCGGTGATCAGCACGCTGGGTCGCCGCGCCGCCCGCCATGGCGGGATGGGACGTCACGACCCGCTGACAACGCCAGGGCATGGCGTCATCAGGCGGATAGGCGCCTGGCGTGGGGCTGTCCCTGTCACCATCGGCTGTGTCAGCGTGGCCCGCACAAAGGAAAGGAAAGGTCCGGCAACCCTGAAGGATTTCCTCTCCCTCTCGTTCTTCTCTTTTCTCCCGTTGTAACCTGTGCTTTCCCTTGGCCTATAAAAGGGAAAGCAGGGCACCCCACTAAGGGGCATCGCATCGATTACATCGCACAAGGACTGATCGTACCGCATCAGATCAGATCCGAACCACTAGCATCAAACCTCAAACACACAGCCGAGCAGCGACGAAGCTCTAGGCATCCATTCGTTCTTTTCCATCAGAGACTTGGGACCTGTCCCTCTCTTGCCCGTTTGTAACCCCTACTACGAACTTTTCAGTGCTAGTAACACGAGCAGCAGCAACAAACTGGACGTAGGGATATTCTGCCCGAACCAGTATAAACCTCGTGCCCTCTTAGCACACCATCCGAGCCAGACGCGCAATAATATAAATTTACTCGTTGGTGTTTACTCGAAACACCGATAGAAAGGTTCCTTTGTGTCACTCTCATTGAATTCCTGTGTTTTTTCTGTGCTCCATCCAAACGTTCAATCTTGCAATTTCCTAAGGGCCTGTTTGGACGCATGAATTTTATAACATATGAACAGGAAAAAATTCATGTGTTCCAAACAGGACCTAGGTATTTTCAATCCATAGGATTCAAGATGTTGGGGTATTATATTCCTATATATGTTTTTCCTATTCCTGTGTTTCTAGAATCCTGTGTTTCAAAGAGGTTCTAATTTTTTTTGTTCACAAAACTCAGTAACCAAACATTCAGGTACTGAGATTCCAATCTATACCCTGAATTAACTTGTAACTAGCATACTGATGCAGTGTTTTCAAGGCGTCGCCTAGGCGACGCCTAGGCGTCCAGGCGTACCCAGCTCGCCTTGGGAAACAGTGGCGCCTTGTGGCCTAGGCGTCGCCTAGGCACCGCCTAGGCGTCCAGGCGTACCAAGCACTCGCCTGGACGCCAAACCGCCTTTAAAACTATGTGCTGATGGCATTGTAGATATCATAATCTGAGCTACACACTTAGTGCTGGGAAAAAACAAAGTGCACAGAAACAATACCGCTATTTTCATAATATATCAGGAGTGTAGTTGTCAGCTGTCAAGCTCAAATATTACCTTTGTCAAGTTCGTAGAAGTTGAGGTATAGAATGTGGGTTGTCACAAAAGCCAGAATAGGAGCGGCAACCATAACTCTAGAAGCTTCGTCTCTTAAATTTAAAGTCCGCAGGATTGCCAAAATGAGAGAATACCCCAGAAAGGCAGCTGCTGATGAAAAATATAGCTTTTCTGTCCAAGTTGTGTCACTGCAATAGATACCACATCTTGGTCAATGAGTTAGCAACAGACAATTCATCTGAAAAGATGTATCCATTGTGATAGAGCCTACCAACTGTGATATATGGCACTCCAGAACCATGAATTCATGGCAAGCAGCCCATAAATGTGCCACAAGCCAGTGTATTCATAGTATGTCTTTTGAGTTTCTGGCCGTAGAGGAAGCTTATAATAAAGCAAGAGGAAAAACGATAGCCACCCATGAAATTGCACAACAAGAGTGAGAGCAGAGAGAGATGCAGATAAAGGTTCCTGGTAATGAAAGCAGAGGCATATAGTTAGGAAGTGAAAAGGAACAAAAATTGAGAACACCAGTTCAAAGCTGTAATGGACTACCTGAAACACAGAGGCACGCTTCAGAGGCCACTTTCCATGATACTTAACAGGCTGAAGGCCAAGCTTTGCCCTTTCATTCTCCCTTTCCATCATACAGTGGTATCTACATTCACTCTTGCAGTTCCAGTCCTTCCATTGCAAGTACAGTGGCTCGTGCGTGTACCATGATTTGTCAGCAGGTTGGCCATCGGCTGGCACCATACAGTGTTTGATTGAAGTTTCCTTCAGGGAGCCTGTCTTTTGGCATCCTGCCACACAAGCTCTAGTAAAACAATGGGAACATGAGTAATCAGTGGTGCTCATTTGTCATCAAGTAGGACCAAATTAAGTGCTGGAACAATAATTAGCGAGTCATAATAGGGCTTAACTGTTACTGGATCTAAAAAAGAAGGGCTTAACCATTGGTACGGAGAGATGGTGACCTGGTTCTCTTTTAAAGCCCACCATTGCTATTGTCTGCTGGATTCAGCAAAACGGTACTGAATCTGATTTCAAAGTCAGGATTAGAATTGAGATGGTAGCAAAGTTACCTATGTTCTGATGGATAAGTCTCATGTGTGGCTGGTCTTTGTAGGGCTATGCTGCTCACATGGTCCTTGTGGCTGTTTTTCTGTTTTTAGGACAGCATCTTAAACTAGAGGACAGCATCTTAGACTAGAGGACAGCATCTTAGCTAGGACAGCATATTAGCATCTTAGACTAGCATCTTGGCATATGCTTGGCTGGCTAGCAGCCTATAAATATGTAACCCCAACCCCTCAGGTTGGTATGGCATTTGTGTGAGTTTGTGTGAGAAATAGACAAGAAAATTACCCCAACTCTTAGTGTCATTCTCTCTCGATGAGAGTAAGAATTCTCCTACTATCAAGAGTGAGAATTCAGCGACTAACATGTTCCTCCCTCTGCGGGAGATTTGGAACATATTTGATTGAGAATAACATGTAGTTTTGCTAGCTCAACCTTTGGGACCGTACCATAAAATCCTGATAGAACTGTGAATCATGTAACGTAACCAGGACTTACACCCACAATGGCATAGTTGTGAGACCCCGCTAAATGTGCCAAGTTGGGCCAGTCTTGTGGGCTGGGCCGAATGGCCGAGCTACTGCAGCTCGGGGTTAATGGTACTGTAGCAACAAAAGGTTCTATAGCTACGGGACTTTAGTCCAACATCAAAGTCCCCGAAACGAGGACGAAAGCGTAAAAGAGTTAATTAGCAGGTGTGATCCATTCAACGTGTGGGGTGGATCTTAACCGTATTCCTGAGCGGGGACGTCACAGAAGTACTGTAGCATCACGGGACACTGTAGCTACTCCCACATCAGAATCAAAGCATGTGCCGAACCAGCTTAAAAGCCTGAGCCTAGGAGAGAATTAACTTTGGGTTTAAACTTTTTGCGCGAAGCGATGACGAAAGCGTAAGAGAGTTAATTAGCAGGTGTGATCCATTCAATGTGTAGAGTGGATCTTAACCATATTCCGAGGGCGGTACAATGATACACTGTAGCATCGCGGGAACACTGTAACTATTCTCACATCGCTACTGCAGCGTCTCGGAACACTATAGCTAGTCCCACGTTAGATCAGAACCCGAGGAGGTGCCGAACCACCTTAGAAGCCTAAGTCTAGGAGGGAATTAACTTCGGTTCGAACTTTTTGCGTGAAGCGAGGACGAAAGTGCAAAGAGAGTTAATTAGCAGGTGTGGTTCATTCAACGTGTAGGGTGAATCTTAGCCGTATTACCAGACGGAGCCGTTACAACAGTATACTGTAGCATCGCGGAACACTGTAGCTACTACCACGTCAGAATCAGAGCAGCTGCGAACCGGCTTAAAAGCCTGAATCTGAGGGAGAATTAACTCCGGTTTGAACTTTTTGCACGAAGTGAGGATGAAAGAACAAGAAAGTTAATTGACAGGTGTAGTTATTCAAGGACATGTAGAATGGAATCTTAGCCATATTCCTGGCCTTAGCGTTACGATAGTATACCCGAGAGGTGAAGACAGACCACGCCTTTGTTTTTCCCGAAACCGCTGGCAGGACTCTGCCCAGCATGTATTGACAGACAAGAGATTTTTTAAAGTGAAATTACAGACAGACAATAGAAAAGAAACTTTAGCCAGAGAGGGCTTGACCACTTTAGGCCGTGTTTAGTTCCAAAAGGTTTTCTAAAAAGTGCTGCAGTAGCCATCATATCGAATCTTGCGATACATACATAGCATTAGATGTAGACGAAAAAAAAACTAATTGCATAGTTTGGTTGAAAATCACGAGATGAATGTTTTGAACCTAATTAGTCCATGATTAAACATTAATTATTAAATAAAAACGAAAGTGCTACGGTAGCCAAATTTCCAAATTTCGCGAAGTAAACACAGCCTTAGCCAGAGAGGGCTTGACCGGCAGAAACCACCAGAGGGACCAAGACAGACAGCACTGGAAGAGCCATGGTTTACCCTGCTCCAGCCAGGCTCTGCTTGGCACCGTGCAACTAAAGCTGAGCAAACTCCGAAGGCTCGCGCATAAATAGACGAACGTAATCTGCTAAGTTTCATCAGACTTTAGGTGAGTCGTCAGTAGCGAGCAACGTAGTAAAACTGATCGCGGATAACAGCAGCAGAAAACGCGCGCTAAATCTCAACCAGCGCCGCGCCTCGCGTCACTCGCGCCGGCGGCAGATTAGAGAGCATGTAGGGAGAGAAGGGAAAGGCGTGTACAGGGTCATACTCGTAGTGCCCCCACCACAGACAGACCGGACGACGACGCAAAGCAGCAGCAGCCACCCGTGGGAGCGGGAGCGGGAGCTAGACTGCGAGACCAAGCAGCGTGCAGAGGCAAACAGCGGAGGAGGGAGGGAGGATCTCGAACCTGTAGAGCGGATCAGCGTCGCCCTCGGAGGCTTCCACGACGACGGCGACGGCCGCAGAAACGAGGGCGAGGAGCAGCAGCCACGGCCTCCGCCCGAGGAGCCCCATCCCGCTACCCACACGCGCTCGCGCTGGCGGCCTAGTGGGCGAGGCGGAGATCCATCGGCGCGGGGGATGTTTGAGAGGGGGCCGGGGCGGAGAGGGGAGGGGAGGAGACTTTCCTCTCTCCGTGACGCAGGGACGGGGAGGACGGGAGGGGGTCGTGCGTGCACGTCCTCTGTGTGTGTGTGTGTGTGGGCGATTGATCCCTGCGTGCGTGCGTGTGCGTCCGTGTTGTTTGGGGGCAGCAGATCGACACGCGGGGCGGGGTGTGATGGCCCGGGCGCGGGGGGGAGGCCTGGAGCCTGGGAGGGACGGGACTCGCGTCTGGGTGTGCGTGCGCGGCGTGTTCTTTTGCCTGGCGTCTCTTGGTTGGTCCCGATGTGTGTTGCCTTGCGTGTGCTCTGCTCCGCTTCCGCTTCGGCTTTTTGGGCAACGCCCCCACGAGACCGGTGCGCGCGCATAAACTAAGACCTGATTTAGGTTCCAAAATTTTTTACCTCAAACTATTATATCAAATTTTACGGTATATGTATAGAGTATTAAATATAGACGAAAAAAAATTAATTATACAGTTTGGTTGGAAAATCGCGAGACGAATGTTTTAAGACTAATTAGTCCATGATTAGCCATAAGTGCTGCAGTAACTAACATACGTTAATGATGGATTAATTATGCTTAATAAATTTGTCTCGCAGTTTCCAGGCGAGCTATGTAATTAGTTTTTTTTATTAGTATCCGAAAACCCTTTCCAACATTCCCGAAACATCCGATGTGACATCAAAAATTTTCATTTCGCGAACTAAACATAGTCTAAGGGGGTGTTTCACTGGGCTACAAAAATTTAGGAGGTATGTCGAAAGAATGTTGCATAGAATGTTCGGATACTAATAAAAAAATAAATTACATAATTCGGCAGTACTCCACGAGATGAATTTTTTAAACATAATTAATCTGTCATTAGCACATGTTACTGTAGCAAAACATTGTCAAATCATGGACTAATTATGCTCAAAAGATTCGTCTCGCAAATTAGTCGCAAACTATGTAATTAGTTTCGTAATTAGTCTATATTTAATACTCCATGCATGTGTCATACATCCGATAGGACAGCAACTAAAATTTAGGAGGGGCAACCTAACACAGCCTAATGCCGGTGCACAACTGCGCACCTATAAGGTTGAGATGGCGACTAGAGGGGTGAATACTCGTTACTAAAACTTAATCGCGTCGGCTAACCGAAACAAGTGCGGAATTAAAACTATCGGTCTAGCCAAGACTACACCATTCTATCTATGTTCTCTAGCACCTTACAAAGATCCTAATTAAGCAACAAAGGTGCCGGGCTAATTAGAGCTCACCTAACCAATTCTATGAGCAAGGTCACACAAACCTATACTACTAGTACTTTATGCAACGAGGGAGTTCCTACACATGCTAGTAAGCAAAAGCACAAAGCCAACTAAACTCACTAGCAATGCTCAATAACAAGACAACTAATGTCAAATTAAAGATCACAAATACTTAGCTACACAAACTAAGCAATGTGACTAACAAGGTTGCACAAATCGAATTAGCCACGCAAGGGAGCTACTTTTATGCTACACAACCAAGAAGATAACTAGTAAACTACATAAGCAAACTAATTACAAGAGCAACTACACAAGCACAATGTGTATGAAAGTAATTACAAGCTTATGTAACGATGATGCAAATCAACGGGAAGAACAAAGTTGACACGATGGTTTTTCTCTCGAGGTTCACCTACTTGTCAACACGCTAGTCCCCATTGTGTCGACCGCTCACTTGATGGTTCGGCGGCTAATTGGCATCACTCGCCAAGCCCGCACGTCGGGCGCCGCAAGAATCTACCTCAAAAGTGAGGGTAGCTCAATGACACGCTTTACTAGAGTTGCTCTTTGCGGCTTCCGCGGGACGAGCACAATACCCCTCACAAAGCACTTCTTCGGAGCACCGCACAAGCTTCTTGCGGGCTTCGACGGAGACCACCACCAAGCCATCTAGGAGGTGGCAACCTCCAAGAGTAACAAGCACCACCGGCTTGCAACTCGATCACCTAGTGCCACTCGATGCAACCTCACGATGTAATCGCACTAGAATCATTCACTCACACAATCGGATGATCACTATCAAGCATATGTGAGATGGAGGGCTCCCAAGCACTCTCAACCATAGACACAAAGTCCCCCAAGGTGCTCAACACCAGCCATGGCCGAGGCCACCTTCTATTTATAGCCCCATGGGCTAAACTAGCCGTTACCCCTTCACTGGGCAAAACTCGGGACGATCAGACGCTCCAGTCGTATCGACCGGACGTAGGACCTCAGCGTCCGGTCAATGGATGCTCGTCACGTGGCGCCTCCATTCAACTTCAGTCACTTGATTTCAACGGTCAAGTGATGACCGGACGCAGCTGTTCAAAGTGACCGAACGCAGCAACCCCAGCGTCCGGTCATTTCTAGTAAGGTACCAGCTACGACCGGACGCAGCATCAGCGTCCGGTCTATAACACCCCAGGTGTTTGTCACCAGTTAAGCAATGGGTTTGAACTCAAACATGGCATGCTAAGTGGTGATGAATGTGTCAAGATCAAATCTACAAGAGTGAACTCCAATTTAAACCTAGACAACACACCTTTACTTACAATGTGTACCCTTGTTAAGATTATGCAAGAGTAATGTTAAACATGCTCATTACATGTACATTACATCAACATGCATCCATCCTGACCAGTGGAAAAGTTTCGTAAAGTTTGGAATCAAAAAGTCACATAAAATGATAAGTTATAATCTTTCTTGGATTGCTTTATTAAGTGAATGGAATTATAGATCATCAACCAAACCTTTCAACCTTACCCAAATGACTCTAGATGAACTCTACAACAAAAGTCATGAAAGGTTCATGTTGGGCAGATGTCAAGAAAATACATCAATCGGTCTAAAACTCAGATTTAAGCGTTACCACGATGCTATTTTGACTTGGTTTGAACTGTGGCTTAGAGGGTTTACATGGCAGTGGAACCTAAACAAAAGTTTAAGTTTGAGTGGTGTAGAACAAACTTTGTTTAATGATCAAGAGCTAGATCAGCATTGAAGCAAGTCAAACCGAAGCCTAAAGATTGAACTCAGTGCTGTTTTGAAACCTTGAAAATCGGCTAAGTCTGGGATGACTGAAATTCATGTTTGAGTTTTCGTGTTCCCCACTTTGGAACCTTGTATCTCCCAAACCAGGCCTAATTAGACTTTGAAGCTTTAATAAAAGTTAGATCTGGTATGTAGATATACAACTTTTATTAATAGAGTTTTTGCTAACTCGTCGTGGTTTAGGAGGTACGGAGGCACGAAGTATGGGTTTCAGTGGTATGTTTGAGGTAGAATTGGAAATTTGAAATTGATAAACAGTGCCGACACCGTGCACAGAGCTGCAGGCCGCGTGTTGCACTCGCTCGCCTTCGCTGCTTGCATGGCCGCCAGCTCGCCTCCGCCTGCTCAAGTAAAGGACCGGCACCCTGCCCTCTCCACTCTCTGTCTCTCCCTTTTTCCTTCCTTCTCCTGCTCCCTCTCCAAGCTGGCACCACGCCACTGCTGCTGGAGCTCCGTAGCCACCATTGCCGAGCGGCAAAGCTCCAACACCGCCGTTCCCATTGCGTTGGTCCTCCTCCGCTTGCTCGGACCTCGTCCTGCCTATCCCCACCACCAAGCGCACATGGTGTGCCTCTCCTTCGAGCGCCGCGCGCTGCCGTACATGGCGACCGCCGTCTCCGCATGCACTGACGCCGTGGCCAAGCTGGCCCGGGTCACTATGGCCGTGTTGTGCCCCTTGGCCAGCCATGTGGGCTCCCCCTGGAGTGTGCGCACACCCCCAGCACTGCCATTCGCTGCCGGCGCCGCCTCAGCCGGCCGGAGCCACGAGCCCGACCGCTCCCTGCTCTGCCATCGTAAGGATGAAGATGAAGGACGTCGCGCTCAAATAAGGGAAAAGGGAAGGATCTTGCTGTGAAGTTGTGACTAATGTGAATAGTGCTCAAGAGGACCTCTTCGCTGACATTTGAGTTCTATTTTCCGCAGGGACCCCGATGCAAGATTTACATTGCTTTTCTTTGATTTTGGCAGATTTGAATGATGAACTTTGAAAATTCATAGTAATTAGTATAAAAATTGTAAAATAGTAAATGAGGACTTTTTGGAATCCTTGTGAAATTCTCTATGCATTAGATCTATAATATGACATGTTTTAGTTTAAATATTTTGCTGTAAAAATAGATTTGTGCAGTAAGGTTGTAATGCTAGTTGAATTTGTTATTTTCCATAACTGCAGATCTAGGGCTCCAAATGAAGTAAAATTTTTGTGGCATGCTACTAATGTGATAGTTGATGTGTGGTAAAAATTTTATAAGTATTGGATGAAGTATGAGTGAGTTATTGGTTTATCTCGCTCTCACATGATTTCTTGCAATAGCAAATTGTCTTTTTCGTAGAGGCAGCTATACTATGCAAATAGTATGAAATTTGTACAGTAGACTATTGAGAGGATATGTGAGCTACTGTAATTTTTGTAGAATTTATTGTGCATTTTTTGTATATGTTCATAATACACCTTGATGTCTAAATAATTTAAGAAATGCTTTAAGAAAATTTATTTAGAGGTGAGCACCATGCTGTCTGGTGTTCTTTAGTCATGTGTGAAATGTTGGTAAGGTTGGTTTTGCCCAATTATGTGTTTGCAACATAAGTTAATAATTATTTTTTTGCCGATGTGGTTTATGGACAGATCTAGGAACTTAGCAAAGTTCTTTATGATAATGTGCTTTGTTGTGAAACTTGTTTATACAAAAGTTGTAGATAATTCATGTATCTAGCTTCTGTTAAAATTTGATGTCATTTGGCCAATTAGTTTAAGAGTTACAGCTGTTTAAAGTTGGGTTACAGAATTGATTGTTCTCTGTCTTGTTTAGACTAATTTCTGTAAATATATAATTTCGACCCACT